TTTTACTACAAGACCGTTACACACAGGATTAACACAGCGTGTAAAGTGAAAAGGATGCGCCTTGGCTAGTGCTATGAGTAACTCCTCGTTATTTATGACTAGGGATCATTAAGCCTGGCTCCTGCTCCAGGAACTATTGCCGTAGTGCTGGCTTCCTGGGGGGAACGGGCCAGGGAGAAGGGCTCTGTGCCCATGCAGCTTGCTATCTGCTGAGCGGCGCTGCGCCGTTCTCAGAGTAACGCTCCAGCTTGCGACGTGACAGCGCACAGGTTAAGCGCCTTATGTTACTTAATAGTTAATGACTCATCCGGCTAATCCAGCGACTTCTGAAAGTGCGGAGAAGGCCAGCCCAGGCTGCCAGGATAAGCTGCTATCGTCTCGCTGCGCTTCAGGTCGCACAGCAGTTGGCAGCCACCTCGGCTTGCCGCAACAGAATGACCGGAATTGCATTTCCTTTCATTTTTACTCTGTTCCTCTCTATCCACTGTAGTATAAAGGTCTGCTTGTTTACCTGATTTTCTAGTCTAGGAAAAATCAGTCAAGAGGGGAAGATCAGTTTAGAAATCTAAATATGAAGGGTATGAAAAGTAACATTTGATACAGCTGGTTGCATTATTACAGTATTTACAGCGCTAGAGCCATTAACAGGAGTTACAATACTGGAAATTTTAATACTTCAGTTTAAGAAACACGTACAGATAAGGAAAAAGTATTCACATTTGAGAGTAACTGTCACCTGATACATGTGAAATGAACTTCCTAGAGTAGGCCATGCTCTTGTAGTCTGTATCCCCGGCCACCTGTGTCTTTGGTTTTTGTTTGCATGCACGTTTTTCCTGAATTCACGAAAGGGACTATTAGAGATTTTGTACAGGACAGTCAAGTAGTCATGAACTATGTCCTACTGATGCTGGCAAAAGCATAAGCGAAGCTCATATGGGGAAAATAAACACGTAGAGCTGGCTTTGAAGGCAGAAGCCGCTCAGCTCGCAGCGCCGCGCGCTGCCGCGTGCCGCAGATGGGCGCCACATGAGCGGCCGCGGGAGCCGCCTTCGTCTCGCTCCTTCCCCGGGGTGGGTGCCTGGGGCTGTTGGTGGTTCCTGTAGTTCCGTCCATGGCCAGCTTTGGAAAGAGCTGAGCAGGTTGTTCCTGAGGCCTTTTGCAGGGAGGCGACTAGCCGTGTTCCCTCCTGATAAGGGCTTTTACTCTCTTCTGATGAAAACTGTTCCTTGATCTGCGTCCTTACAGAGAAACCCCCAAATACTCCTGTTTTAAGGTTGTGTCATCGCACCTCTCTGTGCCAGGCAGCGCTTCCTTCATTGTGTTAATTTGCGGCCTGTGGAGCTTTCTTCCTCTGGCCATCTGCCTCGGTCTTTCTTTGATTTATTAAGAAAAAATACTCGGGACGTAGTGCTACATCAGATCTGCCTGCTGGAAGCACGTCAGGACATGTGTCCATACGCTTTCTTTGCTGCCGTGTCACTCAGCATCATCATGCAACATTTTCCTGGGTCTTGCCGCTCTCGCTTTTGTGCTCCTGCAATTGCGGGAGTCTGATTATTTTCTTAAACACACCGAGGCCAGCAGGTGTTGCTGCTTGAGAAGGTGACCCTGCAAATTATCGCATGTATTGTAAACAATCTTTTAAAATGATAATATAACTTTAGGGGAAAACTGTTAAGCAGAGGTGGCAGAGCAGGGAGCAGGTGTGCATGGAGTGGCTCTGTTAAGTACAATGATCAGAAAGGACCCTCTGTGCTTTTCCGGTGCATCCTTAAACCCCTGGATTTGTGTTGGGATGTTACTGCGGTCCCAGAGGCGAATTGGAACTTGTGTGCTGGGCAGTCTTCAGCTTTCTCTAATGTTTCCACTGGGTGGTGCTGCAGGAATTCCGATTTTTTTTACTTGAATCTGCATTTCCCAGAAAGACGCCCCTAAAATATAATAGGAGGAAGTCCTGATTTAGAAAGTTTTTGCAGTTTCAACACAATAGAAAAACTCTGAGGATGCTCTGGCAGGAAATGTCCCGCTTGCTGGGTATGGAAAAAATGGTAGTATTCTGTATCACACACATACAGCAAGTTCCCTAAAGTGCTGTGAACACGGGTTGCACCATTAGCGTGATTTATTACCATTTAGCAGAGAAAGTTCTGCATAAAATTAAAACAGATATATTTACATGCTTGTGTGTTTATTTTTTCAAAGTCAATTAAACTATCAGGATGATCTCCTTTGATGAATATTTGACAAAGTTTCTAAGTAAACAAACTGATATTTGTTTTTCCGCCTTTCTGCCAGAATCGCTAACTTTTCACCAACCACATCCTCTCTATCATCCTTGAAGCATCTCTGTTGAGAAAGAAAATGTGAGGACTGACTCAGAGTTTTGCCTTGTTCTTCTAAATTTTCCTTAGCAAACATTTGGATGCTTTGGGCAGTCCTCTTCAACTTCTCATGATAAACTGCATGCTACACAGGCCAGTTTTCAGTGGGAAGGATCAAGTTTTGCTGATTTTTTTTTTGATTATTCTAGGATACTATTTTTTCTTGATCAGCTCACATTTGCTTCTGGAATTAAATACAAAATAAATATGCTTCAATTTTGTAGAAGCAAAATGTAAAATAGAAAAATTGGTCTGGGGCATCTGTAAGCTATTAAGACTTTCCATATGAACATTCACTTTAGAAATATGTTTAAAAATACACAACTAAAGCAGCTAGTCTGTGTTATTCTGTATTTTTCTCTAAATACATAATTTTGTCTTTGATATTTGTCATTATGGAATTTAATTCTTTGGTAATTTCAGAAAACCTTTTAAAATCACATAGCTGTTTATTTTATAAATATTTTTTAATTTGGAAATGAGTGCAATTTAGCAATAGCTCAATTTCCTGTAATGAGAAACTGGTCAAAAAAAATCACCTAAATAATGTGAGTAATGACAGAATAGCTGTATTCTTTCACACGTTAATTCCAGAGTCACCTCAAGGGTTAAAATGAACCTGAGACACTTAGAAAAATAAAACCAGAGCTGCTGTTACAAACTGGGACAGATGTAGGAGGCCAGGTTTCCTGTGGCCCATTTTCCAGTTTCCTGGCTGCAACCTGCAGAAACGAAGGAAGCGGCGAGCTCTCGTGAAGGAGCCCTAACGCTGCCCGGCATCGCCCGCTCCGCAGCACGTACAAAGACGGCAAGTGGACGTACAGAAAATACACACACGTTTTCCAGAGCAGTTGGAAATGGGGCGGAAAATAACAGGCATCTCTTAGGGAGAGATGCGGCCTGCTTGCAAACGCACGCACTTCCCTGTGGGAACAGTGGAAATAGAGGGGGTGCCGCTGCAGAAAAGGAGCTGGGTCTTTTGCAGCTGCTTTGGCTACAGGAGGAATTAGTTGTTTTTTCATGTGCTCAGTGAAGGTAATTTCCCCGCTCTGACCGGCGTCTTAATCCTGTTCATGAGCAGGTCTGATCGGTCTGGGATTACCTGTATTCCCTAATGCTGGCTAACACCTGCTGCGTCTTGCTCATTTAATTGATCTCCAGCTGATTTTTTCAGCCCTTGGGCTTCCCTGGTAGTATCTCTTGCACCTCTGTCCCTCATCTTTCCTTAGTGCAATGGCTCAGTCTCATCTCTGAGTCCTAAAGTGCTCTTCTGCCATCTTTCTAAAGTGAAAGAAGGCTGGTTTTCTTTTTAATGATTGGAGGGATCCCCATTTTTCGCATTCAAAACTTGTTCAGCAATAATTATTTATAAGGGGTAAGGAGGAGCTATGAAGAAAGAATCCTGTTACAAAACGTGTTATATAGGGGCTATGGGAGGGCTTGCAGGGAGATGCAGCAACGTCATCTGGAAGCTGAGGACCTGTGCTGAGGTCCTGGGCCCTGCGCTGAGGTCCTGGGCCCTGCAGAGCTGCTCTCCAGCTTTCTCTCCTGCCTTCTGTTTTTTTTTTTTTTTTCTAACGAGGAGTTCTACTGAGCTCAGTGCCTCAAAGAGGCTCTGTTTATCTGTCCTGCAGTTCATGTCATAAATCTTCCTGCTAATGAGTGTTCTAGTTAGTTTTGCCTGGGTGACTCCTGCTTTTCTACTGCCTGATTTTTTAGATGAGTTGCTTATTTGTTTTATTTTGCCCAACAGGTTAATGACTTATTTTTGTAGCCTTAATGCCACTCAGCTAGCACTTTGTGGCATGGGAAGTCATGTATCTTGTCTTGATCACAAAATGGCAATACGGCCCATCAGCATGCACGTCTTAACTATTTCTAGTGCAACTTGCCTGATGTAAGACTTCCAGCTTCTGCTAAACGGCACCCTCATACCATGAGGCTGAGAGCCAGTCTTTGGCATTTGGGCCCACAGTCACCTTACCTTGGGGAGCAATTTGGCCCTCTTTGCAGGAAAGGCAGGTCTTAGATGGGGCAGTTTTGCCCTTGGAAGTGCCTGGTCTTTTCTGCCTTTCCCTTCAGGGAGAGCTTGCAATGTTGACTTTGCCACTGTCACCTCCATCCCATCTCAGTCATGAACTTATTAAAAGTTTGGTGTGTGGAGGTCACATTACCTCGTCCTGATCATCCAGACAGGGCCATCTGAATGAATATGAATCGTTGTTGCAAGTTATGTGTTAGTGTGTGCAACTGGCACCATTGCTTGAGAAATGGACTATCAGGAAGCTGCATCTTGAAATATCCTTTTGCTGTGTAATACTATATTTCCAAGTCTAATCCTTTTTAACTGTGCCAGTAATTATTTGGAACAAAGGCAGTGAGTGGAATTGATCAGGAAGTAAAATTACAGGGCTAATCAAGTCAAGTCAACCTTGTAGATTTGTTTCATGGATTAGGAAATATTGATGCTTGTCAAATGTATTGTATAAATGTTTTTAAAACAGTGTGATTGAAAAGCTATGTGTGTTAAAGTTGGACCACGAAAAAATTTATTTGGACTCCTTTGTCTGGATCCATTTGATTACATTTTCTGTGATAAAGTCTATATAGGTTTCCTGTCTCGTTTTGTACCAGGAATGTATGTTACTATCTAAATAAGCGACTTTTTAAAAAACTTATTTTCTTTTAATCATTGTTCACATATTAGAGAATGGGCATGAGTAACAGAGATTAAAGCCAAGTTTATCAAATTCAGGATAACTCCATGTGAGATGCCAGAAGTCTATTTAAGTCTATTTAAAATTCTGTATGACCATATAGGCTAAGCATAAAGCTCTCTTTAAGGTTGTTGCTACTGTGAATATTCCTAGTTCAGCAAATCAGACCTGAAGGCCATTTTTGGGGTGCATAGAGTAAAAGAAACATACGATTCATGATCAGCTGGAAATGCAGTTTGCATGATTTGCCTCAGTTAGGACCTATACATCCAGTTGCTATATAAACTGCATCCAGTTGCTATATAAACGTCATACAAAGCTTTATACAGGAACTCAGTGGCAGATGGGGCGTTGGGATCTAGTGCAGCACTGAGCTGTTTTAATCCTGTTGCCGTACGGGCAAACTTGGGTGACATCCAGTGGAAGCCGTCTGGACGTCCCACTTAAGCGCTCTGATACTGGGTGTTTGGGTGCAGAGGTTGAAGCCCCGTGAGAGCTGTGTCCTTGCAGAGGTCAGCACAGCTCTCACCCGGAGGAGCCCGACGCGGGCAGATGCTGAGGAGCTGCCAGGGCCTAACTGCACCACCACCGTCTCTCCGGGGTGCAGAGGCCCCCACATTATGTGCGTATCTGAGCTGGTTCAAAGAACTGGTCAGGATGAAGCATCATTTTCAAAGGATGTAACCTTTTATATGATAACCACTGGAAGGCACCTCCAGTGGCCAGAACAGCCTGGACAGCCGCCGAGCGGGCGCTCCCGAGGCCTGCGCTGCCCACGCAGTCTCAGCCAGCTCGCACATCTGGCACCACGCACGCGGCTCGGTCACTGCGAGGCCAACGTTTATTCAGTAAAAAGGAATCCCAAACTGTCTCCATCTGGTAAAACGAGAGCCATCAGCAAGCAGGTTGGTAACGGAAGGCACAGCGCAAGGTGGATGCAGCGTGAGCGCTCCTGGCTGGAGCTGGATGGGGATGGAGGAGGCTGCAGCAGGAGCCGCGCGTCCTGGGTGCTTCCACCTCCCTCCGTGCGGAGACGGGGTCTCCGCTGAGCCCAAGGAGACAGGGCTGCGGCCTGGAACGAGGGAGCTGCGTCTCGGAGGCGTCAGGTTGCAGCGAGGGTCACGGGGTGGAGTTTGCACTGGTGCTTCTGTAACCCTCTTCCATCTTTCGTTTCTTCAGCTAAAATTCAATGGACAATGTTTCTAGCCTGTGACCCCGTGTGTATTTTAATACGGTTTTCAAATGAGATATTTTTAATTTTCCAAAGCAAAACATGCTGCATTTGTGATTCCTTATTTAAAAGATCCATATGATACGAGCTGATATTCAAGCTATCCCTATATAAAGTACCACATGTAGAAACCATGATTATTTTTAAGCAATGCGCCTGCATATACACACATTGTAAAATAACTTGAACAACTGAGAAGTTAATGCAAACATAGATGTGATACCAGATGAATAAAAACACTTCATTAGCTCTGATGTTATAGATAAATAATCCATGAGGGATGCTAACAGCCACAGAGATTGTCCAGTTTAAAGGAAACTGTTAGTACTGTGAAGCAAGTGGGTTACTTTTAGATATACTTAATTGCGGCTATACAATTTCCTACTCTGGGTGGAAAAGGATTTATATATAAAAGTGCTGAAAAAATTGCAATAAAGTAATTGCAAAAAGTGCCAAAACCTCCACATAAATATGTATTTACTTGCCCTTAAACACCCGTTCCTTCATGTGTACCTAGCAGCGATGTGAGCCTTTGCCATCCCTTGAGGTACTGTGCAGTCGGCCTGTCGCACAGCTGGGTGTCATTAGATGTTTATTTCTGCCCTGCCCATTCAAGCTGGATGCCCAGTTATTTAGGGAAATGCGGCTTTTGCATGGATAATAAAAGCATGGCCAATTTTTGCAAACTCCTTTTTGGGCAGTTTACTTAGAAATTATTTAGACCAAAGTGAGTCTCCAACTTGTTTGTCTTTTCTGTAAAAATATTTACAACATCCGCTAGTATCTTTAACTTGTTTTTACAATAGCTTTGGTGAAGCTTATGTAATTTAGTTTCATTAACCACTGTATTTCCAAGATGAGCATGCAGTGAGTTAGAAAAAATAAATGGGATTTCTTTAGTGCTCTAGCAGACTTGAATGGGCAAATCGTATTTCCGCGAGCAGCTTGTTACGTGTAATAGAATAGTTAGCAGCTTTATGCCCTCTTGTGGTCAACACACCGAAGGAAATGTGGGGCTGTAAGCTTTCTCTAACTGTCTCTGTAGTGTAGCAGGATATACAGAGGAATATTTTAGAAAACAAAAAGAGTAAGAAAATTAGTAATTATCACTTTGTTTGGGTAAAGCCAAAAGTAGCCACTGCTGCATGAACTCTCAACTAATTACTCTCAAGTAATACCTAACCCAGTAGTCAATTGCTCCAGTAATACTGGCATTTTAAAATGTGCATTAGTTAGATATAACACATCAGAATTAAATATCAGAAAAGACAAGAAAAAAAAAAAGATTTGCTGCACTGTTAAAATGCAGTCAAAGTTATGGGGAATAATCTCAGTTTGTTTAAAAGGTCAGTTGAAGCTACATCTTTTTACAATAATGAATTGTCTTTGGTGCCAACAATTCCAAGTTTTAAGTTGTCTATGGGCCTGCTGGTATGTTGTCATTCTTAAGTTTGTTCACATATTATAGTACAGACAGAGAGCAGGAAAAAACTATTCAAACATCCTTAACAGTGATACTCAGGCACCGTTAAAATGTATTCCAAACTTTCATGTAGGACAATGAAAGAAGAGACCCTTGTTACACAAAGATTCAGCATAAACAGTGCTTACTTTACTGTGGTTAAGTCAAATGATCATTCATCATCTCTGCCAAATATATAGTATCTTTTGAGCTGGTTGAATTAGCAAGCAGAAAGACTGGGAGCTAGGAAGAAAGAGCCTGGTTTCCGGTTGTCCACACCAAAAGCAATGCTTCGCTCTTCCTCTTTCCTTCCCTTTCTCCCAGTGACATAAACTGACAAGTTCAGTCCACTCAGCGTACTTATGTCCCTTTTTTTTTTTTCTCTATACCTTTTTTTGAAAACTGGCTCCCCACACTGAACTGGAGGCTTCAGCTAGAGATGATCCTGTACCACATGAACTAAATGGGTAATTCTTACGGAATTTAGTTCTCTTTTCAGACTAAAACCACGCTGAAATATGGGGCTCCAGGGCTTGCTGATCTTGTGGGGGTTTAGTTGCCAATGCTGCAGTGACTTCCTTTGCCAAATTGCACTCGTGGCAGAGCCTATTACCGAGATGAGCGCTGGCTATAACACGAGCTCTCAGATGTTTTTCACACTGTCGCCTTCCTTTGTCCCCTCTAGGTATGGAGAGTGCAATCACGCTGTGGCAGTTCCTTTTGCAGTTGCTGCTAGACCAGAAACATGAGCACCTGATTTGCTGGACGTCTAACGATGGCGAGTTCAAGCTACTCAAGGCAGAAGAAGTGGCTAAGCTGTGGGGACTCAGAAAAAACAAAACTAATATGAATTATGACAAGCTGAGCAGAGCGCTCAGATACTATTATGACAAGGTAAATTTTGTTATTCTCCTGCAGACTAAGAACATAGACACACTGCCTTTTAATATTTCATCTCTATGTGGAAGCTTGTTAAAAGTTCCCCTAATTAGCTGTTACGGTGGATAACACTGTGGAAGGCAATCACAGCAGAGGTAAGAGGGCAGCTAACACATGCACAGGAAAACAAGGCACATCTCTTTCCTAAAAAGGGGAAGTTATGACCTAGGCTTACACTGACTGCTGCTTACATGTGTTTATGCATTTGGCTACCCAATACTTTCTGTAGCTTTTGACAACAATAAAGTACGTGTTGCTAATGAAGGACTGTTTGATTATTGCAGCCTGTGTTAGATCCCCTGGAAGGCAGGAAGGTGGTAGAAAGCAGTAAAATTGGGATGCAGCAGATACAGAGTGGCAGCTTGGCCAGCAGGTATCTACAGCTGTCTTAGGACAAGGAAAAGACACACAGAAACCCCAACAGAATGGATAGCAGGGTTGAATTTCAGAGTTTTTGTGGAACACGGTCAGTTTTTAGCTAGCCTTGCCTGATCTTTCCTGTGAAACTTTTTGTTTTACAATTGCATTGGGTCCTAATTCTTTTAGTTGGCTACTATCAGTGTTCAAACAATTCCAGAATTATTATGGCAGTGCAGTTTTACTTCACGAGAATATCACTTCATTTGTTAACATGTAGTGTTTCTTAAGAGTTTGTAAGTCTTCCACTAAGTCATTTTTAGGACAAAATCTATGCCAGGTTCAATAGTAGTCTAGATTATATGTTGTTATGATTTAATTAGCAGCAAAATACACAAGTGAGCACCAATTCAGAATCTTACTGGAAGTGCAGGCTAAAAATGGCAAATAACAGGAAAAGCAGCTTGCCAGGTGGTGGGTGCCAGAACAGGGATGTATTTGAGTGTATTTGTCAGGGTAATAGTCTCACGTTGAGCTCACCTCAGGTGAGAACTATTTTTGTGATAGAATCTTAAATTTACACACACTTGTGACGTTACCTTCTGGGTATCTCATGTAAAAAATGGTAGAGTGCATATTTTGGTCAAGATTTCTACCTTAAATTTATTTGCCCTTGCAAAACCTATTTAGTTTTGCCCCTTCTTCATGTCGACTGAGGAGGTCATGGTTACATCTGTTGAAGTTTCATAGAACTAATTAGACACACGACATCAGCACAGTTTAGGCTCCAACCTTATAAATGGCAATTTGCCTGTGTTTGTGCTATGCTGTATGCTCTCATAAACCGCTAACAGAGAGGTATTGTAGACATGTGTGCATTCAGCTCAGAGCCATTTTCAAACTTTATTTAAAACTAAAATCTGACATAATAATATCTTGGACATAATGCAGAACTGTTTAGATCTCTAAATTTGCTTCTGATTTTCAGAGGTTATGAACAGGTCTATAATCTAGAAGTCAGCAGAGGATCCTGGAGACCAGTACCCCTAAAGATCAGATTTCTTGAATTTACTGGCAGTTAATAAGATCCCTGTCATGACTAAATCCTCCCTCACTTCAGCAATCTTTGGACTCAGTTTTAGGTGTGGAGGCAGCAGTATTGCAGAGGACACAACGATGAGAACAGGAAGCAAACACAGTTTGTATTAAATTGGCTAGACTAGCGTGGGAATCTCTCAGATGTGGCAAGACACTAGAAGATAAAAAAAAACAAACTGCGGCTCTGGAGCAACTAAAGTTTCTTGTGTTTTCTCCTTTCTCAGTTTCAAACTCTACCAGCTTCAAGGAGTTTCCAATTGTTTTTCCAACCCTTTTTTGGATTAACATTATGGGGTTTTTTATTAATTAAGTCATTTCAGGATTATTTCCTCTTAAGTGAATAATTTTTAATGCTATTCCCGAATTAATTATTTTTACTAATTCCTGTGTTCTTGAAGAATACATTAGAAAGGTTGGCTCTTACAGGTTGGTATACTAAAAAAGGAAAAATACATAGTACATTTACTTGGTCTGTTGCCATCCTGATTTTCAGGAAAGAGAGACGATATTAGTCAGTGACTAACAGTAACGTTCAGCACGGTTGCGGCAGGCTAGCTACCTTCACAAGGCAGAGGAAACTAAATATATTTGTTGTTGAACTGAGTTCAAAGTATAGTTGTTTACTGTGTGTTATTTGTAGTGTACTAATTCCTGAAGGGCCAGTTTTGCTGCGTACCCAGGCTAGAACAGCGACTAAAAATATATTCATTGCCAATTAATTTTACTGAGCACAGTTTGGCAGTCTTGCTTTCTGTTGTTCACATTAGAATTAGGAAGGGCCCTTTCTAATGTGTTAGGAAAGTAGTTCTAGTTTCAGGTTTAGAGCCATAAGTTTTGAAACAAAATCTTTGGAGTATTTTGTGTGGTAGAAGTCAGATTTTGTGCTTGAGACCCTGCTAAGGTGGCTGCATGGGCAGGCACAAAAGGATCCAGTGAGGACAGTGTAGCGGGTGTTCCAAGCAGTTAACACGGTGAATTCCCCTACACCGCGGGCTAAAAAGGCTTCTCAGCATGGGAAAATTTGCTTCATTATATCCCTCAGCCCTTCTGATTAGAGACTGGGATCGGTGCAGGCAGAGAGCCTGCTGGGGAACAAACTGCACATCCAGGCAAGCCCAAATAGGCGCCTAGTGACTGAACAGATACTGCTTGAAAATAGGAGGTAAGGTATTTATGGCACTTGTCCTTTGAGAATTGTCTCTAAAATCTCTTTTCTTCAAAACAGTAGAATGCAGTGACTTCTTACTTGAGGATCCCTTTCCCCTTGCATATCCCAGCCCTTTACCTTTCTTTTTTCTTTTGTTTTTACAGGACAGTGTTTTCAGTTGCTTTGCCCTTGCTTGTCATCTCTTTTCTCCCTGCCCTGTCAACACTGGCCACAGGAGTGGCTGTACAGTCTTTTTGCCAGGTTTCTTGCTGAGCTGACTGTTCTTACAGGCATATATTCTGCTTTTCTTGTCTTTTACTTCAAATTTTATCTAGCTATGACCCAAGAATTTTGGCCATTTTTCCTCAAGTTTTGCAGCAGGTGATTGTTCCTGCATGGAAAAAAAAGGATAAGCTCCTCCTTAGCAATTTATTGTTATCTGGGTTTGAGCCGCAGCCCAAAACATGGCTATTGCTATTTACATTGCAGGAGTAACTAACTCCTTTAGCATAAAAAGCAGCAGCAGCCCCATGGAGGAATGACCTGTTGTGTCCTGCAGGGTCACAGGCCACAGAGAAGGGCGGATTGTGAGATGAGGGCAGAGGGGCAGGGAGCCTGTGCAGGGCCTGAAGCACAGGGCAGCGCACGGTGAATGCAGGGGGGCCAGCGCCAGGGGCTCGGCAGCAGATTCGATCCTGAACTTCAGATCCTGAATCGTCCCCTGCCTTCACTTTGGCCAGTGCTGAGGCAGAGAAGAGGAAGACGTTGAGGAGGGAAGAAACCTCCTTGGCTTTCTCCTTTCCTTTCTGCACAACAAAATAGCAAGGGCTCGTGAAGGCAGACGGCCCCCGTGGGCTCTTGTGCTCCCTTTCCCAGAACCCTTTGCCTGCTTTGGGGGTTAGGCCAAGAGCAGGCTAAGCCCTGAGGTAGCCTGAGGGCGCGCTGCAGAACCTGGCCACCTTCCTCACCCTTGAGTGTCACGCACGTGTGGGCAGGCGGGTGTGCTGGGGACGAGCAGGGTGGGCAACAGGGTGACCACGGTGCTGGGGGGCTGCAGGAGAGATGAGACACAGGGCCGCTGCGTGAGCCCCGTGGGTGCTGGTTTGGTGTCTGGAGGGACGTCCCTACCTGTAAGCCAAGGGATCTGGCCAGCAAGTGAGTTTGAGATGGGGGCAGTGACCTTGTGGCAGCGGCACAAGGGAAGGGCATTTCGTCCCCGCGCTGCCCTCTGCATGAGGTGATGCTAACTGAGCTAGCATCCATGAGCTGCCTCATGGTTTGTCTTTGCAATTATCCACTGTAGAGAAATAAAACCTGATCACTGCATAAATGGAGGTTTATGGGATCTGCTGTTTTGCTTGGGGGGAACTGGCTTGTTAAAATTCATCATATGATTCATCTGAAGTTAAAAGTAAATTAATTCCAGGATTGGAGCAAAATAACACAATTAGGGCAAGTTCCTCAGCCTGGATTTCAAAGCAAGCATGATGTGCTGTTAAGGCTGATGGCTGGAATTATCTAAAATTCAGATATAAAGCACCCCAGGAAACGTATAGCATGGCATGGCTCAGTTAGTTGTAATTTGCTACCCTGATGCTGGTTGCTAAAGGTTTGTAGATAACCTAAAGCCTTTGCATTTCCTGCTTCATTTGTGCGAATAGGTTACCCCATTTCTCCTCATCCCTCTTAGTGCGTTTCCTCAGTTGCCGTAACAGGGTGGCCGGTCAGATCAGAGTGAGCTGGAGAGAAGGTGTCCTACACGCTCTCTATCTGCAGTGTGAGCACCAGGGCTGTTCCATTGCACACGCTGGTTAGTCAAACACTTTAGGCCAAAACAGTAGCTTTTTGTTGGTAAAGCGGCCCCACTGCTTTGTTTTTTCTGATAGCTGAAACCTTTGGGAAGTCTCTACGGGTTTCATGACTGCCTGAGGCACCCCCATGCATGTATCAAGGTGGCAACACAAGAAGGAAGCTCGTGAGGTTCCCAGTGAGGTTTTTTTGAGTGGGAGAAAGGTAATGACAGGGTGAAGTCCAGGAAATTACATGCAAATACCTACATTAATTGGATGCTATGGTTGTGAAAATCAAGTCCTCAAAATTTAGGAAATGCAGGTCTCACAGTTACCTGTGTACACTGCATTTTTAATTACACATTCATACTGTTGTCATGAGTAGTTATTTAATATTTTCGTATCTTCTTCGAATGATATGTGGCCTCAGGACTTACTCAGGGCTGTTCAGCCTCTCTTCCAAAGACAAGAATAAATCATTTTAGTTTCAGGTAATGGCTCCCTCCTTGTTTAGATGAGCTGAGAGAATGACATATTGTATATAAATAAAATGAGATTCTTGTCCATGTTTGGAGCAGCACGGGGCCAAGGCCTTTTAGGTGTTTGCTCTTAGTATTCAGGCTCCACACAGTTCCCTCTCTCCATACATGGTCAGACTAAATAGCCTGGTTACTATTTCATATTTTTAAAGCCCAAATGTGGATGGCAGCATGGAAGAATTGTCTGGGGAATAGGGCTTCTTGCTTGGTCTGTTTGCACAACTTTAAAAATGTGCAAGCAAGCTATGAAGTGATAGTGGAAATCACTGCTTTGCTTTTGGGAAGGTCCACCCTTGAGTTAGCTCAGGGGAAAAATCCAAGATTCTGCTTGCCTGCACACTGATGTAGACACACATCCCATTTTTAAGAGCAGACTTTGCAACCACAGCTACATCTCCTGCCAGCTTACATATTTCAGAGTATGAAGATTTCTTAGCTTGCTGTCTTGTTTTTATACAGATGACTGTAATTTTACCTTTCAGAAAGAGAAGGTAGTTATTCCACCCACAAGTTCTGGTAAATTCTCATGCAGGCAGACAGCATGCCTTGGACCTGTCCTCTACTGCAAATGTATGTTAGGTGCAAGGAGTGGAGCAGAACAACCTGCTCCCTCACAGGCTTCCCAGCCTGGGGCAGCCCTGCTCCTCATAAAGCCCTAGAAGGAATTTGTAGTCTGATCTCTGGGACTTGCACAGCCAGACAACTTGCAAGACATCCAAATGGGAGTTAAAAGAAGCAACTACAGCTCAGGCCCATCTCCTTCCATCCCAAGCAGGGGCCTGGCAACAAGTTTGCCCTGTTCTGCTATAATTTGGGCACCTCTGGCACCCTGTCTTTGTTGATTACAGGTCGTTTGGTAAGAGGAGGAAAACATTCCTAATCCATGTGCCTGTCTCTGGAATTTGAAGTCCCACATTAGTCTATGAAAATAGAAAGTGAGTCCCCGATCCTGGCTCCCTCCTCACATGGTTCCTGCAGGCACAAGATTTACTAGCTCACAGGGCCGAGCTAAGCCACTAAAATCCTTATGTCACCTTGTCCTATGGCCAAGCCTCATCTCCAGACAGCTCAAGCAGCAAATAGGAGTCAGTGTTGATTAGATTAAGAACCAAGAAATGTTTGAGCCCCACACACACACAAAACAAGAGGAACCTAAGCCTGAGTTGCGCTGATAGAAAATGGATGAAGAGCTCCCATTTATTTCTGCAGGACTCCTAGTAGTAGTACATTAACAAAAAAGAAAACAACCCAGCAGCACCACCAAAAAGCCCCAGCGTCCCACATTATAGCCTGGTTTTAAGGTGCAGGGGAACCCAGGCTTCTGAGTCTTTGGCCTGTCGGTGAGCTGGGAGGAGAGGGGGAGACGCTCCTGCAGACGGGGGCCCCGTGTGCCCGTGGAGGCTCCTGCTCCGACTCGCT